GCAAGTATACTTTTATTGAATAACATGTTTTTATGCTGAGAGCAAAGGGAGTGAACAGAAAGTCGGAAAGCACTTAAGTGAGAGAGAGAGAGAGAGAGAGAGATAGAGAGAAAGAGTTAAAAGCCTTTCCGTCTCTCTCGATAGATGATGTCTTCAAGAATCCTCAATGTTGCTTTTAAGGAGAGTGCGCGAGAGAGAGAGAAGGAAAGAGAGAGAAAGAGAGAGAGAGAGAGAGAGAGAGAGAGAGAGAGTTAAAAGGCTTTCCGTCTCTCGATAGATGATGTCTTCAAGAATCCTCAATGTTGCCTTTTATGAGAGTGCTTGGGAGAGAGAGAGAGAGAGAGAGAGAGAGAGAGAAAGAGAAAGAGATGAAAGCCTTTCCGTCTCCCCTGATAGATGATGTTTTCAAGAATCCTCAATGTTGCCTTTTTGGAGAGTGCTTCTGATCATTCCATGTAGCATTCAGTGCAAAGTAAAATTTGCTGAATCTGGCTTCATGTTTCCATGACTCAATCATTCATGTTGTCTGAAGGGGAGCAAATTCTTCTAATGTGTCTATGTTGATGTTGATATCTTAAACATAATGTGGCACGGCTCTAAGAAGATGGCAGTGAATCCCAGGCTTTTGAACACAGCTAGAGGATTTAGATGATGCTGCTTCTTTCGTCACATTGGGGGAGGGGGAAGGGGAGGGGGTAAAGAAATCAGAGGTTATAGAACACAGTTTATTTACTGGGATTGATCTTTGTGTGTTTTTTATTCATAAGCAATTATAATTACAAATTTGGGGGAATAAGATATTGAAATTTGTGAGATTTCTTCAAGTTAAGTATTAAAGGTCCAGCAGATTTAGTAGTATTTTTTAACATTTGATTTTTTTTGCATATTTTCCTGGCATATGAAAGTCCCAGCATTAAGTATATGATAAAAAGCAAATGTGGTTCGATAAATAGTTTAAATACAAAATGACTACGAGCTAGATATATTTTTAAAAAAATCCCTTCAGATTAACTAATCCTTACTTATGGGTCAAGTTTGGCCAAAGCTAGGATTTTAGAAGAAAGATGATTATTTTAAAGATTGAACTTTTAGTTGAGCATATAGTGAAGAAAGGATTATATTAGCTATTCTATAGTCATGAATGATTGTGTTATATATACCCCTCATGTATTTATACTATCCATAGATTTATCACTGATGAGATATGTTTATAGTTTGAGTCAGGGTAATGATGCGTCCATGATGTTTTATCGCCGTCGGTCGGCATGCAAGCAATGGAAGGCGCTAACCCCCCGAAGAGGTCAACGATAACGAAAGAATGTGATGGCTGTCGTCCAGGCTGCGAGGCTTTGACAGTTTGTGGAAGTTGTTCCCTCATCCTTCATCCTTCATTCCGTAACACTGTCTGTTTGTGTGATAGGATATGTGATACAGCTCTGGAGTTGAACGTTTGGACCGGGTCAATATCTGTATTTCATATGAGAATATTCATATGGGAACGGGTACTCATTATTTTGGTGCTATTTTCAAAGATTAAGATACATCTATCATTCCTTCATACTATCTGCTTGTGTTAAAGGGCATGTGATATATCTTTTGAGTTGAACGCTTCCTATGGCATCAATATCTGTCTTTCATTGGAATGATATTTCATATTAGAATATTCATATGTAAATGGGTTCTCTTTAGTTGTGTGATATTTAGAAAATGGAGATGAGTGGTATCTCTATTTTGCAACACTCTTGATGTTATATTATAGGAAATATAATATATCCCTTGAGTTGAAAGTTTGGACTGGCTCGATATTTGCCTCTCATTAGAAACATATTTCATATGATAATATTCCTATGTAAACGGGTACTATTGATTTGTGTGCTATTTACAATAATGAATGCATCCATATCTTTCCATAACACCATCTGTTTGTGTTATCGGACATGTGATATATCTCTTCAGTTGAATGACTCTGACCGGCTCGATATCTGTCTTTCATTAAAATGATATTTCATATGATGATATTCATGTGAACAGGGGTTAAGGATTGTTTTGTTATTTGCTAAGATGTTACAAATTAGGTATATTGGAGTATATACCCTTATGTGAATAGATCTATGAAATCTAATATGGTCTATGGAGTAATTATCTGTCATTCTGCCATTTGTAAACAGGCAAAATCTAGCTTTCTTAGGTATTTGATATCTTAAATCAAGGAATATTTCAGGTACTCTGTGTTATTGAAGTTGGATCTCCATTTGCTTTAATATTTGTTGCAATTTTCTCCTGGTTTTAAATTGGCTGTGAAGAATTGTTCTGGATATATGTTTGCCAAAATCCAATGCATGGTACTATTCATTTGGCACTTGGTAGTGTGTTTATACCATGAAAGAATCTCTGAAAGATGGATTGCTTTTTCATCACATTACATCTGCCAAACTACATCCTGTGGTACAATCCATGATGTGAGAACATCTCTCCCAAAATCTGATCCCACTTTCCCCCGTTGCTGTTTGATGATTTGACCTCCGACCTAGATCTTGAACTTGGGCCGATGGAGACCTTGGTTTAGACACTGGTGGGAACAGATTAGAATTGCGTCTGAAAATTGTAATTCAGGTGCACCTTGTGTTCATGTGTAGCATGGTCTAGTGGTTTGTAGGTTTAAGTAGATAATGTAATAATGCATATTCAATTCCCCTCTTTGGTATTGGCAAAAACCAAGAAATACCAGGATAATGGGAATCATACACATAGGAGAGAGAGAGAGAGAGAGAGAGCCCTTTTGAGTAAATGTTTTCGAAATTTTTAGGTTATTTTCTTGTTTAGTATGCATTTTGCACAGAATTTTCTTTTAAAAATGAGTGGAGATGATGCACACATTGTATTAGGTGTTAGGAATCAATCCAATTACCAGCTGTATACCAATATGTGCATCTAGCTCACTCTTAATCAGATTAAGTTTACAAACTTACTGTATTTCCTTTAGTAGTTATATTAAGATTATCATCTAATCAAATGTTAAAATTTTGATTTCAGATTCATTTCTATTCCTAGCTCCAAGAAAGATATATACAAAAATACAAAAATAAAGATGAGAAAACAATTAGAAGAAACAGAAAACAGCCTTCTCATAGTTGATTTTGAAACCAATTGTAAATATCCCCAATGCAATATTAACTCATTTGAAACTGAAACTTAAAAATCAATTTATTCTGAAAGTGAAGTTGATAATGATATTGAACTTTGTGACAGTTGTCATGTTGAAAACAATCGCTTCTCTCAAACCAGACTGTTTCTTTTTAACTTTTTTAAAGCCCAATTCTTCTTTGTATTATACTTTTACTCCATATTTTTTCTTCTTCTAAAATAGGCCTTTTATGAGAGAAGAAGAGTCTTGATTCTTGCTTTTTCTTAGTCTGTTAATGACAATATACATGTAGTAAATTTTATCATTTGCCCTTTCATATGCAGAATAATAAAAATGTAAAAGTTCGTCCCATGGCTGTTTAAAAGAACTTTGGTTGTATAGGACCTTAACACTAATTGGACAAAAAAAGAGTAGCATGTAGACAGTGGAGCAATGCATTTGAATGGGTGACTTTGAACTACTTGAACCCTGATAAAGAATGCAGTCCCACATATTTTTTTTCATGTCCCCATCTCAAGGATAACACTAAGGGTATACTTGTCCTTGACACTTGAGTCTTATTTACCATCGACAGGAAGCCTGCATCGTCTGAGTTCATCTTCACTTCTCAAATTGACATGTTTGTAATCACATCCAAACATTTTGGCGAGAAATCCCCTGCGGGGCTTTAGGGCTGGCATCAAAGCATTTAGTGAGGAGGATAGGGTTTCCACGGTGACGGGGATGGATGCTTTTAAAGAATAGGATCGACCCCTAGTTTTCTGCATGCTTTAAGCTTCTCCATGAACATTTGAATTGTAGATACCCTTTCAGAGAAGGTGTTATTTGTCTTCCTGTCTCATCTATTCATTTCAGCTCTATACCTATCTCCATTGCTGTTTAAAAATCTCTTCTGTTTTTCCTTGTTTCTATGGTTTTTTTTAAATCACTGATCAATGTCTTTTCTCTGTTATTTCCACACTTCTTTTTTCTATTTATTTTGCAGTCTCTCATTAATACATCCTCCTTAATGGCCATCTCTAAAGGCGGTGTTTAATCTGTTCTTCTTTCCTGATCCTTCTGCCCCCTTCTCTTTTTTTCTGTTAAAAAATCTACCTCCAAAGTCTATCTTTCATTAACGATTTACCAATTTATAAATTAACCATCAGTTAGCAAGAAAACACATCCAAATCTTTACTTACGTATATAATTTGGCTTCCTTTCGCATGGGTCCTTCAATCTATATCTCCACAGCTTTTGTAGAGGAATAGCTTTAATACGACAGAGTAAATTAAATAATCTAGAAAGCTCTCTATTTACCTACGGGCCAGCTGGGAGACACTGTGTTTTGTTTTCCCCTCCTGTCGGTGTACGTGTTGAGAATACTCTAAATTGAAGAGCGAGTGACATCTTGTCCTCCGAGAGTCTCCACGAGCATGCTCGGAATGATAAAGGTTTGTTCACGTATAGCGCGGTAAACCACTGCAAAAACGCTGCTGCGTTCTTATTAAACGTTCAAATGAACCGCAACTGCGTGCATCAAAGGACTTATTGCGCATATTCACTGAGCTCTTTATTATAAAACAAAGAAATCTGAAGGGTATTAAACTTTACTTCATCATTTAAAAACAGGCGTGGTTTCGCGCATCATTTCTGAACGAGCCTTAAGGGACAGGATTAAAAGGGATGATGGAAAAAATTGTTGTTTTTGACAGGGTTTTAGTGGTGCGATAATGTCTGTTTGGAGCCAGAAGAGCATTATCTCGTATTCCTTATAAACACCTTGTGAGTTATGAAAGTGACCTTCAAATAGATGTACAGTAGATGATGTGTAAAGATGAGATCCTTCTGGTCTAGTTTAAGTTATTGATCCAGGATGTTTATGCCTAATGTCCACAACAGAGTTGTCATATATGACGATGAAAAGGTGTATGGCAGGTCTAAATTGCATGTAATTGTGGTAACACACATAGATTTGATCTCTAGTTTTGTTTCTGATGCTGGGAAAGTGCCTTTCAATTTGGTTGGTATTTTTGGTTCAGTTTCAATTGTTCTACAAGTCATGGAGTTTCTCTCTTTTTTTGTTACTATGGATGTTGATATTTGGTTTGCAATCCTGATCAGTTATGATTAGATGATTTGCTTGTTTTTAGATGAGTAGTGCATATTTATCGATTATCATTTCGCTTCCCGATTTAGAGTGGAGGATGATTTATAAGGATGAGATTGTGAGATGTTTCTCAAAGAGTGGTACAATTTTAGGCTTTAGATATCATCTTCTAGTGACTTTCCAGTTACAGATTGAATTGCTTCTCCCTGGAGCCTTTTCAGTCTGTTAACTGGTGGACATCTTTTCTTTTGTTTCAAGAAAAATCAGAGCAATCAGATATCTGAACGAATAAGACTAGAAAGGATTCTTCCAGTATCTATATTCATAAGGAGGTTTTCATCAATGATGCATTAATGGGTTTACCCGCATTCATCAAGCTAAGCCAATCCATTTGAGAAGAGGATTACACGCAACCATTTGATGCATTCCCCATATCGCCATGACGATGACCAGATCCAGGTAGTGTGGAGGAGACAGAGAGCCTGGTAGTGAGCGAGAGAGGAACCCCTGCCATTATCACTTATTCATTATTCTCCTCCTCCCCCTCCCACTCTGCATTGTGTGCTGAGAGGATATTGCCTGGGGCGAGCCTTGTTGAATGGAGGGATGTTTATAGGTGATGCCCAACCGACCGCGATCCAAGGCATACGATAGTCGGTCGATAATTGGCATGTGGCTTATGCTGAATGCGTGAGCAGCTTCAGGTCGCGCTGCATACCGCATCATCAACGTCCATGAACACACACACGGACACACACACACGCACACAAGGCTCATCACGCACGGACAGACAGACCAGTGTATTTGGATACAATCACCCCCACATACTTACGCACGCACAGACGGAAACTTGTTGTGATATTCTATCCCCGCCCCCCTCTTCCCCGGTCGCTCGCTCGTGCCAAGGCACGCGAACTTTCGCTTGGCGGCGATGCATCCTCAGATGCCTTCGGACGATGACGAGCCGTCACTGCTCGACAAGTTCTCCTATTCGCTGAGTTTGGACGACCTGATCGCCGACATGTACAGCGTACATTCTTGGAGTTATACCACCACTACTTTCCATCCAGGCGTGGTAAGAAACAATGTTTGTCCCTCTATGACTCATCTTAGTTTGGTATTAGTCATCTCTCACCGCTATGTGTTGATGCTATCTTTCCTCCCAGGGATACTTTGTCTGCATCACCATTGTCATAATTTTGCATAATCTTTTCCTGATAAAATAATAACTATGATAATGTGTTCTTAAATTTTTTTTTATTCTGCCCAAAATGGGAAACTTCTTTTCCCATCTTCCTGCTACAATCGTTTAAAAACTTGATGGACATAAGTAAGTGTAGATGGATGTGCTTATCTCTAGATGGTATTTTGTTTGTATGTGCTCAGTTCTTAAAGGTTAAAATATTAATGACATTTAGTTGAACTGAATTGAATTCATTTGTAAGACATTTGGAAAGATGTCCCTTCAGAACCAGAACCTTGTTAGCTGTGTAAAAATATGTAAATCATGAATTATGACACTTCTTTTGATGTATGAATTATACAAAACCATAAAGAAAAATGCTCTAACGTAAGTCAACTGCTAGAGACCGTATGATACTGCATAAGTTTATCCGGGGTAGATGGTGAAGTAGTCTAATTCACATGGAGAAACTATTGTGCACAAACTTTTGAGGCGTATTGAAATGTTCTCTGAAATCAACAGTCACCTGTACCTAAGCATGACAGCAACGTGATACAATCATTGCATTTCTTTCCTTATGCTCTTTTTTCTCTGTCCTCTTACGCACTTTCTTTGTCCTCTTACACACTCTCTCTTTATCTCTTTCTCTTTCTGTCACTGTTTTTCACTCTTATGCACTCTGTCTCTCTCTCTCTTTCTCTCTCTCTCTATCTCTTTCTCTCTCTTTCTCTTTCTCTTTCTGTTTCTGTCACTGTTTTTCCCTCTTATGCACTCTCTCTCTCTATCTCTTTCTTTCTCTCTCTCTCTATCTCTCTATCTCTCTTTCTCTTTCTGTCACTGTTTTTCACCCACTTCTCCTGTTATTATGATTATCAATCATTATGTCCCCTTCATATTTCTTCACCTTTTGATTTCTTAATATTGGTGTAGTTCCATAACAATTTGAGTGTACATGACTGTTTCGACATCTACTGCAGATCATTGTATGATATTCTAAGATGTTTATTGTGGACCATATTTCCATGAAACTTTACATTTTGTTCTCCTTTGAACATGACCTTGCAGAAATAATACATGATATTTATTCTCTCTCCTTCTCTCTCCCCTTTCCTCTCTCCCTCCCCTTTCCTCTCTCTTTTTATCCCCCTTCCCATCTCTAGCTCACTCACTGTTTATCTGTCTCTCTCTCTCTGCCTGTCTGTCTCTCTCTCTCTCTCTCTCTCTCTGCCTGTCTGTTTGTCTCTCTCTCTCTCTCTCTCTCTCTCTCTCTCTCTCTCTCCATCTCCCTCTGTCTGTCTGTCTTTGTCTGTCTTTGACTAGTTTTCTTTGTTGATATTCCCTCCATCAATTTGTTTCATTTAACATATTTTTTCTAACTTCCTGTCTCTCTTTCCCTATTCTCATTTTCTGCATGATTTGAAGCAGGTGCTTTCCAAGTGTCATTTTCAACAGTTTGAATCCTGATGTAGAAAAACAATGCTTTTATGAATATTTGTGAACAGGAACAGCAGTATTATGTCATTTTGCTACAGCAGCTGACACAGCATAAAAATATTAAATTGATATACTATTGTAGACTTTGTATAGATGTGTAAATTGAAGAAAGAAAACAAAATATATATAGTGGAAGTGAAGAATCAGAAATGCATCCAGATGTGGCATGCATGAATTCTACACATGAATAGTACACATACCCATATTGCTAATGTCTCTGTGCAAAATGGGACATGCTATTAATTACGAGCGTGTCATGATGATACAGCTCAATAACGCGTACACTGGTGTTTGCAACGACTTCCAACGACATCAGCATATAATGTCCCTATATGCTGTATGCCCTGCGTAATGTCGTTAATGAAGCCTGTATTGCTAGTAATGAAGCTTGTATTGACTTAGGCAATCAATACAATACAATGAAGGCTTAAGCGTGCAGCATGGCTAATTTCAGTCATGTTTACGTTGATGATGCTGGTGATGGTGCTAAATTGCATTAGCAGAACCATTTTGGTTATTATATGGCGACCTTGCTGGGGTTTACTGTGTACATGAAGGCTTATGTAATATTGGGAGAGTAGCAGGATATTACTTGGGAGGGAGCGTAGAGATTAGGTTTTTTTTGTAATTACATTGGCTTCGGCAGTCTGCTGGAATGGACTTGTAATTCTGTAGGATAAAAATCATCCAAAGTTATCAACCAATATAAGATATTAAGTATGTTTTTAAAGCTATTTCATTATTGGATTGAGTTAGCGAAATAGAATTCAGGGACCCCATTTTTATGATCTTTACATGTTTGTGAGTGTATGCTGTTTTCAAATTGGCAACTTATATATTTAGCAGGAGGATCAAGTCTAAATATTATATTACGTCGTTAAATAAACTTCATAGTTACCTAAATTAATACAACTTTCATGAAAAAATACTAATTTAAGAACAGGCATGTTTTGTTTTTAGATAAGGGAAAGAAATATATGCGAAGGTAGGGATTATTATGAAATACAAGTAATAAAGAGAGGAAACTTGATTAAAAGCAGATAAAGGTCATTTAACATGCAATGGAAATAGAAGGAGATAGAAGGAAATAGGGAGAAATGGTCAATACGAGAAGGTTATCAAGGGTAATGGATACGAGATATTGATTCCTAAACGTAGAGAGAGAGTTTGTATACTGTTGAAACTTGAGAGGCTAGACGTGTCCAGGCATCAATAGCCTTATAAATAAATGGCTCCATGGGGAAACACAGATAAAAGGAGCATGGAAACACAAAATGCATGCACTGGCTAGCCGTGCTACGAGGTGTTTTTAACTGCCCAAGGGCCTATGTGACATTTATGTAGCTATTAAGGTAGAAGTGTTTTGCCGAAGCTTCGTGAAAGATGCACAGTGTATGAAGAAGCTGAAGAGGGTCAAAGTAGGTTCTTTTTATTATTCTGATATTAAGATTAAAAAATGAATACTTGCCCTAAATTACAGTTTTAAAAATGTAGACATTACATATAAGCTGCTTGTCTTGATTTCATCCTTCTTTGATAGTTTTTCTGCATGTGTTGCAGCGAGGGAGATTAGAATTCAGAGTAAAGTAAAAATTTCTGGAACCAGACATTTGAAACCAGGCAAATTTAGAGCCCCCAATTTACAAGCATCAGAGGACACATGCATATAGAATTAGAAGCTTGTGTTGTATTTAAACAGAACAACCCATAATTTATATGCAATATCCAACCAGGGAACACGCTGAGGAAAAACAACCCACTCTCTCCTCTCGACATTTATGAAATATGAATCCATTGTTGAGTTGTCATAGCGACGGAGGAGTGAATTATGCATATCTTTCCTATTTACTCTGTGTCACTGTCAGGGAAATAATTGTGAATTCCCTTGAGGTGGATCAGCATCCAACACACGCAGAATACTAGATAAGCTTGGATGAGTGGAATAATATATATATATTTTTAAATACAAGAAATATTGCTCTCTAATATTCCTTGACTGATTAAGAATTACCGTACATTATATCATGAGTAAAGATGTAGCTTGCTGCTACTTATCTGTTGTATTCTGTCATGAAAATCTGTTGTTCTATGTCAAGAACAATGTTACTTGAATCTTCTTGAATCGCTAGATTTCTTTTTGCTGTATTTCCTCTGTTTTGTATTAAAAACAAAATAAAGTTTGTTTATATTCATAGGTATACTTAGTACAGGAAATTGATCTTTGATTCATACTTGCATACTATGCAAGTCATATTTGCTTCTTTGAAAGTGTGCCTTCATTATCATAATAATCACAAAATTTAATTTTATGAAGTTAGTGACTCAAATTTAGTCTTACAGCATCAAGGGGGTCACAGATCCCTGTTGGATGTTCATTTGATGTTTCTAAAATAGGCTAGAAATGACCCTCTTTTCAATCAGCAGGTTATTGTACCATATGGTGCAACGATTCGCTTCTTTCACTGACGTAAGAGAATCAACGAGGGACTCATCCCCTTCTGAGTCTGAGAAAGTGTCACGAAGAGCTTATAGTGAGGCTTGAGGCCCAGGAATAACTTGGAATATGATAATCATGAATATGAAATTAGCCCCTGACCTGGGTTTCTTGCTTATGCATGTTTTTATATCTTAAGAGTGTGGTTCTACTTACTATATAAGTTAAGGAAGGGGGGGGGGTAGCTACACTTTTTGTATTTGTAAAACGGAAAAGGAAAATGCATTGTAAAGGTTGTACTCATAAAGAAGATTTCATATCAAATTTTACCATCAAACAATAGATCAATACTAAGAATTGACATCCAATCCAGGTATCTATAAAGCGCCAATATCTAGTTGCCTAATCAAAGACGCTGATGAGACTGATAAACTACCAAAAATGTCTGTTAATGATTCTAACTGGGAAGACAAAAAAGCAGTGACTGATTGTATATAAGCAATCATTCCATTTATTCAAGTTGCAAGAAGAGTTTCCTTGTTGTTTCAGGTCCTCACCACTATTCAAATGATTATCCCACCCCACAACTTTTATTATCTCTCCTTGTAAATTTATTCAAGTCTTGCTATTTTTTTATTTTTTATACCTGTACCTGTGTATGTTGAGAGTATGAAAAACTCATTACTTTCCTATTACTGTACCACCCATCTGTCTTCCAATCTGTTGACACACTCCCTCTTGAGACAAAATTGTGTATATTGCTAAAACTTCCTGGACTATTTTTTAGTATTTTCTTTTTTATTGGGAGCATATGATAGTCCATGATATGATAGTTTTGAAACCCAAATTTAACCCACATTGTTTACTGTAATTGAATAATTATTTCTACATAATCTGATATAAATCATACTCAGTAAACTTTTGGAAAGGGGGAAAGGAAGGGGGAGGGGTAACAGTTTATTGT